GAAGCTTGCGCTTGCTGACTGCTACTAAGCCCCCTGCCTCCGCCACTGCCAGTGTGTTTATAGCGAGAGCCCCAGGCTAAGGTGGTGCCCAAATTACATTATGGAGCCCACCTCAGACTACCTACCATGCGTCGAACCCGCTGGTGGGTGTCTTGGCGAAGGCCGATGCCGATGCGATCCAACGCTGGTCCATTGCATATTGGCTGATGCTGTTTCTGCATGTGAGACGGGACAAAGTATTTTTGCTGTACGTTACGTATGTGCCCTGCTTACTGTTACTGTTACTGTTACTGTTGCCGTCACTTCTTGGGGTTGAGTATACGAAGCCATGATTCAGAATCGTAAGAGGAATAAGCATACCTACCTAACTTAAAATGCTAGCCCCTAATTTGTTACCCGAAGCTCTTCCTGTACGGTCCGACGAACCGTCTTGGGTCTCGTGAATCCATTCCTGATCTGGTTATACTGTCAACTCATCGTCAAATGCTGAACAATTATCCGTATCCAAAGATCCACATGATGTCGTCAACAACCAAGTTTAAAGAAATACATAAATCTCGTCATGTCGCTGAGAATCCTCCTCTTGTTTTTCACTTCTTTTATAGACGGCGTTTAAATTTAACCTAACCTCCGTTCCTGTCAGCACATCTCCACTATGGCTGCCTCTTCTACAGCCACAATTGGCTCCTACGAGCTGACGTCTCGCGCAATCAACGAGCCCCCTGCCGCTGCGGTCCGTGAGGGATCGGGTATTTTTGACGAAACTCGGAGGCTTGGCTCTCGCTACGGTGGAGATTACTCAGACGGCGGTGTTGAGAGCGTCGCCGCACAGAATGCTTCCGCCGAAGTTGCTGAGAGCTGGAAATATCCCCGCCAGAATGTTTTCAGGACCGGAGCGGCATTTTGGAGTCTTTTGACCTCCGGAGCCAATGATGCTGCATACGGCGTATGATCCCTGTGAAATTCTCTGCTTGATACCATTTCTGACATCAAATGACAGGCCTTGATCCCATACGTATGTAAAACCGGCCCTCCCGAGGGCTGAGTTGCTAACAGATCGCAGCTAGAAGAATATTACAACTTGAGTTACATCATAGTGTCTCTTGTTTTCCTCTCACCCTTTGTTGGCTATATCCTAGCAGCAGTACTGAACAATACCCTGCATCGACGGATTGGACAGCGAGGAATCGGGATCACTTGCGGAATTTGCCATATTCTCGCCTACATCATCATCGCCATTCACCCTCCATACCCCGTCTTGGTCCTTGCGTACTGTCTCGCTGGTTTCGGAAACGGAATAAGTGATGCTGCTTGGAATGCCTGGATTGGCAATCTCGACAAGGCCAATGAGACTCTTGGCTTCCTTCATGCATTTTACGGTGTTGGAGGAGTCATCAGTCCTCTTATCGCAACTAACATGATCGCAAAGGCTGACTTGCCTTGGTATACATTCTACTATGTTATGGTGAGTCACACATGTAGATATGCTTATGAAAGGTACAATACTAACTGCAATACTCAGATCGGGTTGGCCACTATCGAATTTGTTACTTGCACCTGGGCATTCTGGCCTAATGGTCCAGAAGTCTATCGCCAAACCATGGACGCGAGCAACGAGGACAACCAGGGCATGAAGGAAGCCTTGTTCAAGCTTCCTTTCGCTCGTGTCACTTGGCTTTGTGCCGCATTCCTCCTCTGTTACGTCGGTGTTGAGGTTTCTGTCGGTGGCTGGATCGTCCAGTTCATGATTCGCGTGCGAAAGGCTGAGAACTACCCAGCTGGTATGACCTCCATGGGCTTCTGGTTGGGTCTCGCCGTTGGTCGTGCCATTCTGGGGTTTGTAACGCCACTTCTTGGAGTCAAAGTTGCAGTATCTCTGTATCTGCCTGCCGCTATGGCACTGCAGCTAATCTTCTGGCTCGTTCCGAGCTTTTATGTCTCGGCCGTCACAGTGGCACTCCAGGGTTTCTTTCTCGGTCCATTATTCCCTGCAGTCGTCGTTGCTACTACAAAGATGTTGCCTAAGCACTTACATGTTAGCACTATTGGTTTCGCAGCCGCTTTTGGTGGTAGTGGTGCTGCAATTCTGCCTTTTGCGGTGGGTGCTATTGCTCAAGCCAAGGGCGTCAAGACTCTCCAGCCGATTATTCTGGCTTTCTTGACTGCATTGCTGGGGCTTTGGCTATGTCTCCCAAGAATTGGCAGGAAAAGGGATTAAGGCCCCAAGGGTCAGCAGCAATCAGTCTTTGCGTCACTATCTTGTCAAAGTCAGGTCAACCATAGCTCAGGGGCCCAACAAATCAAACTTAGCTCAATGATAGAACGAGGCCTTATAGAAAGTTGATTGTTTCTTCACAGCACAGCCAAATGATATGAAGTCTTGAAGAACCAGCATCCCTAGCCAGCCTCTGCGTCCCGAAAGTAACTCGACCTTTAAAAAGACATACCCTAAGTGCCATCATTAAATCCGGAAGCTTACAGGATAGTGATATAATGGCTACGATCAAATTCCGAGCCGCCACTCAATGCTTTCATGAATCATAAGTTCTCATCCATCACGGGCTAGTGCTGTAGATCCCGCGAGCCGTGCCGTCTGCTAGCCCCTCGTGGACGAATGGCCAAAAGTCACCACTTTCTATGAAAGATAGGTAGCAGGTAGACGAGCATTCAGCTTGTGGCTTGATGCTAAATAACAACATGGCTTAAGTCGTTTGACATAAGAGATAAATGCCTATCAATTCCGTAGATCTGCAGTGAGAGCTGTGCTGGAACTCGCATGTCTATAGGCACCCGGTTCTGGCCGCACTGATATCCCCAGGATCTAGTATCTGGCCTGATGGTCTAGCGGTATGATTCTTGCTTCGGGAGTGACATCTCAGTTCTGTTTCTAAAGAACTATAGTTTGCGAGAGGTCCCGGGTTCAATCCCCGGTCAGGCCCTGTTTTTGCTAGCCAGGCTGTTTGGTTTTCTTTTTCGTGATCGAGATAACATTCAGGAGACGGTATAGGATAGCTTCGTATTGCACCTGTGCTGTGCATGATGAGTTTGCCTGTTGAGGGACGTTGTATAAGATATCTTTCCACTGTGAAGGCACGCCTTCTTCTTTGTCAGCATCCACTGGAAATTGAATCCTCGTTTATCATGGGAACTCGTTGAAGATAGAAGTTCAGGAGAATCATGAACTTAAGATTAGTGGTTGTTCAGAGAACACAGTAGTTATTATCTATTATCAAGGTGTGCTACAGGATATAACCCAACGAACGTCTGCATAAGGCAATACTACTATTCAATATACCTTATAATCCGTATTGAAATTTTGACAAGTTTTGAAGAGTCAAAAAGGCCTCTCAATTAGAGTCCAACATCAGAAGCATTGATTTCCACAGTCTTGTTCTCCTTTAAAGCCTCTTTCACAGCTTGACAGACAACAAGTGCAGCTAGGCCATCTCTCGGTGTGCAATTCGGAGTCGCCTCACCACGAATAACCTTGATGAAGTGATCTAACTGTAGCTCGAAAGGCACGCCATCTGGGACAGGGACGTTCTTCTGAACAAGCTCCTGATGCCATGATTTTTGGCCTTCAGCATATGAAGATAGAGTCATATCTGGCACACTCAATGATGCGTCGGTGCCAAAGATACGGTAAAAGTCTTTACCAGTTTTGGGGATCAACGGGTTCTCTCCAGTACCAGACTCAAAGTTATGCGGTGACGGGACATTGTCCGAGAACAGGAAGCTTCCCACAGCACCAGACTTGAATCGAAGTGTCAGTACTGCACCCTCTTCAGCCTCAAACCCACGTTGGGATATCGTCTTCTCTGCATGAACCCGTGTGATGGGACCAAAGAGATAGTGCAGCAGATCGATCTCATGGACAAGATTGATGAGAACAACACCGCCCGTATCCTCTCTTCGCCATTCCCGTGGAGGGTCAAAGTATTCCATTGGTTTATAAGTCGCCCAAATTCCATTCACTGCAATGATTTTCCCAAGAGAACCAGAACCAACAGTTTCCTTTGCAGTCATCATATAGGGATTGAATCGTCGATGATGTGCGACCAAAGCCTTGACGTCTAATTTATCGAGATGATCAACCAAATCCTTTCCGCTCTGAATATCTGTACAGAAAGGCTTTTCAATGAGTATGTGAATACCCGCTGAGGATAGCTCGCGAGCCAAAGGGACGTGCGTATGATTGGGCGTGCAGATAATGGCTGCTCGAGGTTTATTCGACGATTGCAGCATATCGGCCACGGACTTGAAGTAGACAGCTCCAAGCTCTTGAGCTAGTTGTTCACCATTTGGCATTAGGTCGACAACAGCTACCAGCTTTGCTTGGGTGTTCTTGATCACAGTCTGGGCGTGGCGAGGCCCAATTAGGCCGACGCCAATGATGGCAAATGTGATGGGCTCAGAAGACATATTGAATTGGAGTAATCGGTGCTCTCTGATGATCTCAAACGACATGGTCTTCTACGCAATTTATACCTCTATATCGGCTCCTTGTGACTCATTATTATCGCCAAAATGTTTACCCCAGACGCTTTGATGTGACAAAGGCGGGGTATGGGGAATGTTAATTGAGGCCATCGGGGCGATGGATTTTAGTATCGCGTTAAACATTTTACCGTCCCGAAAATGATCTGACAAACTATAGCTTATACAGCAAGGCTAAGCCACTACGGGAAAACCCAGCTTCCCTGTGCTCAAGACTGACGGTTTTTAAACAGAATGGTAGATTCGAGTGGGCGTCCGCCACAATAGTTCAAATTGGATGTGTACCATGAATAGGGATTGAAAGCCCAACGAATAAGCTTGCGGCAGCTAGATAATCATTAGACGGAATATTGTTCGACCGTTGAGTCCCAACGGTATTCGATAGCTGCGACGCGTGATTTGAGGAAGGACCTGTTTCAAAACATCAACATCACACTTGAGTAACCGACCGACCATACGACCACATTGAAGAGTCTCATACAAGGGTCACAATTCGAAAGAAAATGTCTCGTGATGAAACCTCCTCCTCTGATGTCTCCGGAAGTGATAATGGACAGGAAAGACCGGATTCATACCCTTTCCCATTGAAGAACACACCAGCAGACGAGGTTGAAATCGAGTCAAAGAGAAGAGGAAAAAGCATTTATCAGAACTATGAAATCCTTGGAAGAATCCTGGAGCGGCATGAAGAGACCATACAGAAGCGATGGCTCAAGAAAAACAGAAAGCAACGGCTCGAGGTCCTTCTCACTGCATGGCCAGACATGCCACCGACCCACCGGCCTTTTTATGACCTTTGGCGACATGTAGACACGGATCCTGAGGTCAAGGTCAAGCAACATAGTTCCATCTTGTGGCCTTATATCAATAAGGAGTCCCTTGGCAAGCCCACGCCGTTCCTCTTACTTCTCAATTCTAGAGGCCGTCACCCGCCTCCCTTGTTCCTCGATAAGGATCACCAATACTTCCACAAAGCAATACAGACCGGAATGGTAGTGAAAAAGCCGTACCCTACAGAAGACATGAGTATTCTCCTCCGCGGCGTTCCCGAAGACGATTATGGGATCGTGAAGAAATTCCCAGAAGCTGCCCCGGGAGTTTGGCTTCATTTGTCAAATAAGGACTATGCCTGGCCAACATCTACCCTCTATGGCAAGGAGTGGCCGGTGTGGCAGTATTCTACCGCATCGGGCATAGTGATTCTAGAGATACAAGAGCGCTTGATGGACTTCCTTGTCAAGTGCTGCTATCGAATCCTGCACGAAATTGAGCCGCACAACTTATTCAGTGATATTTATCCTGTTCAGCCCGAACCCGAGCTTCCTTCGACTACGCAGACTGAAGGATTACAGACCTCCCTTCTCGAGATTACCTTTGAAGCACCTTACCGTGTGCCGACTCGGCTCAACTTTGCCAATCTTGAAAAGCTATTTGCGGCTAGGGCCGCCGCTGCAGAGGATCACGTATGGGCGATGCGCGAGGATCCCAATTACTTTGCCGAACAAATCAGTGACATGTACGATCATGTGCTACTCATCGGCGATACGAGAGAACATAAAAGCAAATGGGGAGCAGCCATTGGTGAGGTTCTGGCTAACGCATACACAATGATTGAGGTTTTCACTGGAGCTCATCGAATTACTAAACGCCTGTGTCAACTGCAAGAAAAATATGCGAGTGTTGTAACCCCTACCGAGAAACTGCCCGATGAATACAACAATCAGATTCGCCATTTCCTTTCTTTCGTACTTACTATGAGAGAGGTTATTTTTCTGCCGAAGCTCGAGCTCTTGGTCAAGCGTTCCCCCCTGTTCCGAGCTGCTATGAACCTTTGGCGCTTTCGCCCTGAGGACAGGGATAGGCCTCTGACATATAACGAGCAATTTTGGCTCAAATGGGTCGTCGGGCATCTATATGATTCGAGGGGCATGCTTGATGACGAGAATGACGTGGTTCCTGATATCTTTGCAATGAATATGGTCGTGGATGATCTGGAACTACAGATGGAAAGGGATAAGACAATTCGCGACTTGCTATCACCAACTGCCCATGCCATGATGGGTGACTTCACTATAATCATCCAGACTTTGCATGCGCTCGAGCGTTTCGAACCGTGGAATCGAGGTTTCGGTGGTGAGGCTGACGATGATTCTATGGACTGGTCGACAGATTCTATCAGAGCCAGGCTTAGCATTTTGGAACAAATTCACGAAGCTTTTGAAAGCACTCCCGCGCCCGCTCTTCTCCCGTTTGTCGAAAATAAGCTGGGGAAGTTTACATATCCGGAACACCGACGCAGGAACAAGGAGAACGTCGAGATGATGCGGCGAGCGGAGTCCAATCTAGATGCATTCTGGACCAGAGCAGACCGGTATCTCTACGATCGGACAAAGAACATGAATGAAAGTATCCTGATGGGACTCCTAAAAAGTCCCCGTGTTTTGCAGAGGACACCTGAATGGGCTGAGCCCACGAAGGAGAAGAGACAAGTCCTTGACATTGAGCAACCCTTGTCGACTTTTTTCTTTGGGCTGTTCATTGACGATCGAGACACTAAGGCATCAGGTCGTCTTTCAGCGAAGCCAGCCAAGACGAAACTCAAGACAAGAGGAACTACGACTAAATCAACGGAGACCGATGAAGCTCCAGCTGAAGCGATGGCCGAAGTCGCACTCGAAGATCCGAAGCCGGTATTCAAGGTCGACCGACGAGCACTTAAGACATTCCGCATTCTCTTTTACGATCCAGATGTCACTTCTACCCCCGGTGAAGTTCCATGGAACGACTTTTTGCATGCGTTGACTTCAGTTGGGCTTGCTGCCGAGAAGCTATACGGGTCTGTTTGGCAATTCTCACCATATACTCTGGAAGCCAATGGGAGTATTCACTTTCACGAACCTCACCCACATAATAAAGTACCCTTTGTCATTGCTAGACGCCATGGGCGGAGACTTTACCGAACTTATGGGCGGACTGGGGAGCAGTTTGTCCTTGATAAGTAAGATTATGTGGGCCGAAATACTAGATAGGATATGAGGTATTCAATGTGTTGAAGTTGAGCATGGATGAGATGCGATGATGTGTCTACTGAAGGAATGCAGTGACACAATGGACTAGCCTAAAATGTTTTTAAAGAACTAGTAAATTCTATCTTTATGAGTGACCCAAGGGCTAGGCTCGAGGGAACAAGAGTGAAAAGCTAGGGTCGCGTAACTTCACGCTTCATTGAAACCTTCGACAACCAAGTTAAGCGATGAAGGCATACTGGAGTGAACCTTCCAACCTCGGATACTACTTCAGGTTCACTCCGCATATCGGAAGCGACGGTAATTAATTGCTTGGGAGTTGATTGGATCGAGATTTCAGGGTCTCATGCTGGAGTGGCAGGGCCTTGATGGTGTGAGAGCGTGGGGCACAAGCGTGATTGAGACTAACAAAGACGCAATATGGTGAAAGAGGAACGGGAGATACGACAGCGAATGGCCATGCAGAATGATTAGATTACGACATGATGTAACAGAAGAGCTAGCTAACGTGCTCATGGGAAAGATGCGATAAGGATAGAAGAATAGCTCAATGCATTCAGTATCCCAGTCCTGTCGCTTGGAGAGCTTCATCGGCAATTGAACCTTCACCATCATTCCCGAGCACGATATTCCCGTCAATTAACGATGGCTACCGCAGCAGTAATTAACGGTGCAATCAATGGCTTCAATAATAGAGAGTCAGACTTGTCGCACGTTGCTGTAGAGAGTGCGCCGGCTGAGAAGTCAGCTCCAATTACCCAGACCAAGGACAGCGCATCAACGACCGTACGAGATGGACCAGACGTGGACGAGACATCGCCTTATTACAGCCCTCGCCTGAAACTGGTCGAGAGATTCGTCGACGAGCCACGTCCGCTAAGAGTTGGTGTCATTGGCGCTGGCTTGGCCGGGATCACAGCAGGCATTCTTCTACCAGCCAAAGTCCCTGGAATCAAGCTTACCATTTACGAAAAGAATGCCGATGTGGTACGTCAAATCATCATATTGGTTGAAAATTGATATAACTGACAACTGTTTAGGCAGGGACATGGTTTGAGAACGTTTACCCCGGTGTAAGATGCGATATTGCATCGCACGTCTACCAAAGCACATTCGCGCCCAAGACAGACTGGTCGGACAAGTACGCACCCGGCCACGAGATCCGAGAATACTGGCAATCGGTCGCACGAAAGTTTGATGTCTACAAATATGTCAAGCTCGATACCAGAGTCGAGGGCACAACCTGGGACGATGAAGAGGGCGTGTGGATCACGAGGCTGCGGAACGTGAAAACGGGCGAAGAGACGGTCGAGAAGAACGAGTTCATCTTGACCAGTATCGGACGATTCAATGATTGGAAATTGCCTGATTATCCTGGAATATCTGAGTACAAAGGACACCTTCGCCACGCCTCCAATTGGAGCACGGATTTTGATCCCAAGGATAAGACGGTTGCTGTCATTGGCAATGGAGCGAGCGGTATCCAGGTCACAGCAAACCTCCAGCCAATTGTCAAGCGACTCGATCATTATGCTCGTAACAAGACTTGGATTGCCGCGTCTTGGGCTGGTGAAGAACGAAAGATTGAAGCCCAGCCATATACAGAGGAGGAGAAGAAGAAGTGGGCAGAAGACCCCGACGCATACTTGGCCTTCCGAAAGGACCTCGAGAGTTTATACTGGACCAGATTTGACTCATTCTTCCGGAACAGCGAGTCTAATCAGAAGCTCCGCGAAGCATTCATCGATATCATGAAGAAGCGCCTGGTAAAGAAGCCAGAACTACTCGAGCACATCGTACCAGACTTCTCGCCGAATTGTCGACGTCTGACACCTGGGCCAGGGTATCTCGAGGCCATTACTGAAGACAACGTAGAGTACATCCGTACACGAATTAAGCGCTTCACAGAGACGGGCATCGAGACTGAAGATGGCAAGCAGAGAGATGTCGATGCTGTCATCTGCGCGACTGGCGCAAACGTCGACATGGTTCCGGCATTCCCTATCCGAGCTCATGGACAGGAGCTCAGTAACCTGTGGAAGGCTGATGGAACATACGGATATCCTTACACATACTTTGGGCTGGGAACACCAGGTTTCCCTAACCTTCTCTTCGTCCATGGACCGCAAGCAACAGGGCCATCAGGAACAGTCCCTCACAGCGTCGAGACTCAATTGACATACTTCGCCAAGGTCCTGCGCAAGGTCTCACGACAGGGCATCAAGTCCTTGAGCCCTTCTAAACAAGCAGCAGACGACTTTGTGGAGTACTCAGACGCATTCTTCGCCAAGACAGTTCTTACAGATAAATGCAGTTCATGGTACAACGGTGGCAGACCTGGAGCGAGAATTCACGGGCTCTGGCCAGGAAGCGCAGGACATATCACATTTGTGCGACAGGAGCCTAGATGGGAAGATTGGGAGTACAAGTATATCGGCGACTCCAAGAACCGTTTTGCGCATTACTTGGGCAATGGATGGACCAAGAGAGAGACGGATACAGAGGCTGACCAAACGCCGTATCTTCAGAGGCCAGACAAGATCGATTTGCGGGATATTCACGAGAAGTGGTGGAGTATTCCATAGAAAGTTAGTCTAGTACCTCTGAGAATAAAGCGAAGATGAGCTTTTGGGCAAGATCTCGTCATGACATGGTCCCACGCACGTAATCGCGCGACTCGCCCGCACCTCCACGTGGAGAGCCCGTCTAATCTATCACGACTGCACTAAAGCATCGGAGCCGCTAAACATCCTTGCATTAGCTTCGTTAATGGGGCCATCTTTCTCGGGGAGTTGATCTCAGATCCTCCCTCCACGTACGCAGACTGATACTTGGAGCCTTAACCGAGGACAGGTCAAACGACGGGACTATGCTAGCGAGCAAAACATCTCGAGTCTCGAACCGGATACATACCGAGATTCTGGTAAACGCAATGCCGCCACAGATATACGTTTTGCGCTAGAAGAATTAATGCCCAAAGGGCTGGGACTTCGGCAGTTGAGCTGTAGGTGCGGTCAAGGGTTGGATGGCGTGCTGGTGCTATCGTGTTGGGCGGTGGTTTCATGATGGGAAGGGAAATATAAATGTTGATCTTGTACCTACTTCTACAGAACATTTTTACAGCCGTGGCTCGCTAAAGATTCTGACAGCTCTCAAGCTTTCTCTTCTGTCTCAACTTTCTTCAGTCTATACAGGATCATTCAGACAAGATGACAGTGGTGGAAAATCGACATGCGGACAGCGAGGTTGCTGCTCCTCCCAAGGATCAGCTTCTTCCTGGTAAGACACACTCCCAATATGCACGTCGTCTACTAACACTGTCCAGTCAAGTGGTATCGCTCCACATTCTTCAACATCACAGTGCTTGGCTTGTGTAACTTGTCTGCCCCAGGCATCTGGGTAGCCATGAACTCGCTTGGTGCCGGTGGTGCAGCCTCGCCTAAGCTCATCAACGCTGCCAATGCCTTGACGTTCTGTCTCATGGTGGTGTCCTGTTACTTCTCGAGTGCTATGGTTCGATACATCGGCATCAAGGGTGCTTTGATCTTTGGAACGTAAGTCTACCCACACGATCGTACGTACTTGTGAACACTGCTGATGGGAGGTAGTCTTGGCTATGCACCTTATGCAGCTGGTCTGTACACCAACAACCGCTTCGGAACAGAATGGCTCGTCCTCGTCGGTGCTGCTCTCTGCGGTATCTCAGCTGGTGTCTTCTGGATGGCCGAGGCCGCTATCGCCATCGCATATCCTGAGCCCTGGAACCGTGGTAAAGCTCTGGGTTACTGGCTCACCTACCGTCTATCGGGTCAGATCCTCGGTGGTGCTATCAACCTTGGCCTCAATGCCGACCGCAACGAGGCTGGAAAGGTCTCTTACACTGTCTACCTCATCTTTATTGCTCTCCAAGCTGTTGGTCCGTTCGTTGCTCTGTTGCTCAGCAAGCCGCATCAGGTTCAGAGGAAGGATGGTGTCACGGTCAAGCTGGAGATTGATAAGCTTCCTAGCTTCGAGCTGAAGGAGACCGCCAGACTTTTCTTTACGAAGAAGTTCCTTCTGGTCGTTCTATTCATTGGACAGGCTGTCTTTGCGGAATCCGTATTCTTCACTTATCTTGCTTGTAAGACTCCCCGGTCTCGCTTCAGGCATGATACTAACTGATGCAGTGTGGTTTTCTGTTCGATCCCGTGCTCTTGGATCTTTCTTAGGCGGTATCGTTGCCGTCACTGCTGGTAATATTCTGGGTGTAGGTCTCTCAACCGCCCATCATGCCTCTGTTGCTGACAACTTCTTGATAGGCTTGGCTCGACCGTACCAAGGTTTCTCTTCGATTCCGCACCCGGTCTTCTTTCGCCTTCCTTGCTACTCTTCAAGGTGCCTGCTGGATCTGGGCCACAGTCTTGGTTACCAGGTTCCGTGAGACAAGACCGACCTACGATTGGGTCGATTCGGGATTCGGCCATTCATTCGCCATCTTCTTGTTCCTCACACTGTCGTTCCAGCTGAACTACCTCTTCCTGTGAGTAAACATGAACGCACGTTACATGACCATGACCTAATGATTCTCTAGCTACTTCGTTATCCATCATCTCGCCAACACTCAAGACGAAATCATTCGTTTCTCCGCCCTTCTCCGAGGTACCGAGTCAGCCTGGCAAGCTCTCAGCTACGGCATTACCTCCTTGCCTCTTTTCGCTGAGGTTGGTGGAGTTTACTTCAACTTCGCGCTTTGGGGTCTTTCTATCTTCCCTGCTTGGTTGGTGCTCAAGGATTTCGGTTCTCATGCCGCTCCTTCTCTTGAGAGCCCCATCCAGGAGGTTGATAGTCAGAAGTATGGGTCTAACTCCGGCGAGGACAGTGATATCAAGAAGCACTAGATATTGATAAGCTTATTTATGGACTCTGCGGAGGTATCAAAATAGTCTGAGAGTGCATGGCTCTAGAAAGTCGTGAATATAGAGATTTTATAGATATTAAATCTAGAATATTTATACGAGAGTTGTTGAAGCCGTGCACCTTTTGAAATGCCTGTTGATAGAAGATCAAAACACAGACAATCCCAAGCCGTTTACCACCCTTCCAACTTCCCTATACATCATATGAAAATCTGATAACCAATTCCTTCTAGAATGCGTGATGTCTCAGAAGATCTCCGATTCTACGCCTCTGCAAGCCTCCACGCGTGCAGCCCACGTGGGCGTGATATGCCACTCCCGACAACTCGGCACTCTGACTTGAAACTTCCGAGCTAGAAACACCCGAGAAAACAACCCTGATAGAAATTCCCAATCTTTTACCCATTTGTGGAAGTTCCCCGAGCTTATCGTATGTGAATTGAGGGGTTGATCGGCATTTCATATGAGCAAGACTCAGTGATGATTGCGCCATCGGTTAGTCCACCAAAACCCTCTTACACGCCAAGGTGTCATATCTATAGCCTAAGGATACCCTGTCTAGAGCTATCACTTGCATATTCAGTCATGGGCTTGAGAATCACGCAATAGTCGCCTGGAAGTCCTGTATCGGCACCGATATCCGGAGCGTCTTAAAAGAAGAATAAGCTGGGAACCAGTACATCACCACCCAAACAACCAAGTCAGGCATAATCCAATCAGATTAGTTCCATTTTTGACAGTCAACGTCATGGCTTCCCAAGACCAAACGGCCCAGCAGGGCAAGAAGAAGAGCCTTATCGTCAATGCCTTTGTAATGATGTGTAGGTGCCCCTCATCCCAGTCTTATAAAATATACTGATAAGACTCTAGGTAGTGGTCATCAATCTCCAGGACTCTGGAGGCATCCTGAAGATGAATCTTGGAGGTTCAAAGACACTGAGCACTGGGTCGAATTGGCCAAGTTGCTAGAAGACGCCAAGTTTCATGGCATCTTCATCGCTGATGTGCTGGGTAAGAGACTTGGTTCATGAGGGGTTGTTTTCAGAGTTCTGACGACTAAAATAGGAGGCTACGATGTTTACAAGAAGTCTTTGGAACCTGCTATCATCTCCGGAGCTCAGTGGCCTCTTACAGAGCCGTTGGCGGTTATTCCTGCCATGGCTGCTGCAACTAAGAATATTGGATTTGGTGCCACAGTTTCTGTTACATATGAGCAGCCATATCATCTTGCTCGGCGGTTATCCACAGTCGATCACCTCACAAAGGGCCGGTAAGTTTCTATTTACATAAGATAGGAAATAACTGACAGTTTTAATAGTCTGGGCTGGAACGTAAGAATGTTGAGCCTCGTTCTGAATTCACTACTGATAAGACTTACAGATTGTCACTGGTTACCTAGACTCAGCCGCTCGCAACCTTGGCCATCCAGTTCAACTTGCCGTAAGTGAGATCCTTGAAGTAATAATTCAGTTTCTGATGATAGTTAGCACGATGAACGCTATGCCCAGGCCGAAGAGTATATGGAAGTCATGTATAAGCTCTTCAACTCATCCTGGCGCGACGACGCTGTCAAGCTAGACCGCGAGCGAGGTATCTACACGGATCCCGCCCTTGTTCGTCAAATCGACCATAACGGTAAATACTTCAACGTTCCCGGTCCTCACGTCGTGGACCCCAGCCCGCAGCGAACACCCCTCCTTCTTCAAGCAGGGGCCAGTAAGCCAGGTAAAGCATTTGCGGCACAGCATGCTGAGGCTATCTTTACTTCTGCGCATGCACCTGCAGTGTGTAAGAAGAACATTGCGGAGATCCGACAGGTTGCGAAGGAGCAGTTCGGCCGAGACCCGAACAACATTAAGGTTCTCGCTCTTGTCACGCCTATTCTTGGTAGGACCGAGGAGGAAGCTCGGGCTAAGTATGATGAAGCGAAGAAGTATGCTTCGACTGAAGGTGCTCTGTCACTGTTCGGTGGATGGACTGGTATGGACCTGAACCAATACGGCGATGATGAAGAACTTCGACAGGTTGAAAGTAACGCTGTTCGGTAAGTTTCTTCCTCATAAGCTTAAGTTCCTGAACTCATATGGTTCTTCAGATCAACTGTAGAAGGCTATGCCAAGTTCTCACCTGCAAACTCAAAGTGGACGAAGCATACTGTCGCCGAGCATGTCAGCCTTGGAGGCAACGGACCTCTATTCGTTGGTACACCCTCTCAAGTAGCTGATAGTCTGCAAGTATGGATCGATGAGGCAGACGTCGATGGTTTCAACTTTGTAAGTTCATATGTAGCCAACCACGGGATGTTACTAACTCTGACAAGGGATATGTACTATTCCCGGGTACATTCAAAGATATCATTGAACTACTACTCCCTGAGCTTCGATCAAGGGGTCTCTTCTGGGACGACTACGCAGTGCCTGGTGGTAGCTACCGAGAGAACTTCTATGGCCTTCCTGGGCAGAAGTATCCTCTTGATGAGCATGCTGCTTCCAAGTATAGGTGGGCTGCTGGGGTGCCTGCAGGCGAGCATAAGATTCCGCAGTAGATATGCCCGAAATTAGTTTCAAAAAGATAAATAAAATCAAGAGTAGTTTGAGTGGGAAATTTATGTGAGGTTCAGACTCTGTCAGGTAATCAAATCGCGGACGATGAGCTTCCAGATCCATTCAATACAGCCGACTGAGTTCACACACTGTCCATAACACGATATTGTGATCGTTTTATTCTGATGATGTGCTAGTTTATGGATTATGTGGTGTGCTCTTGGATTTAAGGTGTGTAAGGGTTACATTGGAGGTAGACTCGTAAAGCTGGTCAGACGGCTTATGACCTTGGAAAGTCCTATTTACAACTCATAACGGAACTCCTTGTTCTCCAGATCGGTCAGATCCAGAAACTCGTGGTTCTCTTCCACTCTGTACTGATCCCCCAGCGCAGCTCTCTCGGCATCCCTCTTTTTGTTCCTTCGATCGAAGACCCATCTCATGACTAACAAGTCAATGGTGCAAAGGAAGTAAATGATGCAGATGGAGATTTTGGCGGGAAGATATCGTGGCCCATCACGAGCTTGAAAGGTGTGAGGTGAGATGATGTTTCCAACAGTATATGCGATAGTTCCGATACACGAGACGGTGATCTTCTTGGTAGAGCCAGCCACGTTGGAGCTTTGAAGTCCGAGAATAGTGGTCCAGCCAATGGGAATACCTCCAGTTGTGTAATATCCAATGAGGGCGGGAACCTTTTCAGTGGTAGCCATCAAGATGGCTCCGATGATGGCAGGGATATGGCCAGCAATGCAAAAGAACAACCGTTGTCTTGTCTTCATAGCTCCGTAAGTCAGGCCGATCAGGAAGACAATCTCCCAAGCTCCGAGGGGAGTGACCAGCAACAGAGACTCCTCATTGGTATATCCCATACCTTTAACAAGAATATTTCCGAAACTGGTGGCAATAGAGTTAGGAATGTTGGCAGCAAAAACCCAGAAGGCATATAGCCAAGTCATGCTATCAGTCAAAGCCTCCTTGACATGAGCCCACTTGAACGTCTGGGTACCAATGCCCTGCACGTTTCCTCGAATACGCTCAAGATGCATGGCTTTCTTCTCCTTGTCCAGGAATCCAGCAACTGCAGGAGAATCTGGCATGATGAACCAGAAGCTGATTCCTACCACAACAGTGAGAAGACCGAGAACGAGGAAGATAACTTGCCATCCTTTCAAAGCAGCATCTGGATCTTTGCCAACGTGCGTTGCAACGCCGTAAGCAAAATATCCACCAAACATCTGGGCGGCGCCGCAAACGGAAAACCAAATTCCAACTCGAAAAGCTTGCTCCTCTTTCGTGTACCATTGAGATGTGAAGAGGACCCAGGCTGGGACAATCGCAGCTTCGAGGGCACCCAGAAAGAACCGACAAGCGAGAAGGCCACTGAAGTTATGGCATGCAGCCATACAAGCAAGCGTTACGCCCCATAGTGTAACGTTGACCGATACGTACTTGGCGAGAGGGAATACTTGAAGAAGTCGAACAGTAGGGAACTGAAAGCCGAGTTGACCGAAGAAGAAAATCGAAGCGACCCAGTTGAACTCGTTTCCCTTGAGACCAGTTGATTGTTGGATGCCAGTAACGCTCGCATAGGAAACTGCAGTCTTGTCGATGTACTGTAAGAAGTAAACGGTACAAATGAGAGGCATTATATGAGTATCGATGCGGCGGATGAGTCGTTTGTTGGCTCTGGCGTCGAAAGGTTGACTGATTCCGCCGGTTTCGTTCAACAAGTCAAGGGCAGCATCTGCTCCGTCTTTGTGAACATGATGGTCATGTTTTGATAGGTCATTTACATCAGTATGGGCATTTTTGGCCGAGTTGTTAGAAGAGTCTGGTTCGTCAGCCCCGACGGGAGCTGGCTCGATGGCCTTGTCATCTGCCATAGTTCAGTGAGAGAGCAGGCGAGTTTGCATGAAAAGCAGCCGCCATGGTAATCTGTTGGTGGGTGTCATATTTATATCTTTAATTTGATGAAAAGAAAATGTCGACATCGCATCCTATTCATTTGAAGCCAACAGGTCCCACGTTGTGTGGAGTGATTTATCAAGGATAATCACTCCAGCTTCCTATCTGGGTTTATCATGCCCACTCAAATCGACATGTCGACCCATTATCTGAACTTCAGCCAAGCACGTCATTAGGAGCTGAATGGTGTGAGGAAAGACTACACGACCTATTCAAATTCTTCATACAACAGATACGAGTTTCTCGATGTAGAGTAATTCATGGCGTTAGTGCCATATCAGAATCATGGTTTATAAGATGCAGCATACAGTGTATACAGCACAAGTCTACCAGGCTACCACTAAAGTGAACCAGGGCATTGAACTGCGAGTGCTGCAAAAGACTCATCTTGAGCCAGTGTTACGGAACAACCCATTGGTTAACTGTAATCATATCATATACATTATGTCTCAGCCGATGTCTAACGAGATACCATCATGGCTGCCAAATTACCAGCGGAAGCAGTATCACAAGCATAAGAACTTATGAAACTTGTATGGCGAACTTCATGATTAACCGAGAATCACCACAAAGAAATTTTTGTTGATTTCGCGCATCGGGATACGAGGTACGAAGCCTAATACGTCGGTGGCATTTGGGTATCATTTTCCAAACTTCACGACGCCCGTGAAGAAAGGTTTTATAGCTCGCTAGACATTTTCACGGGTGCCATTGCGGATAAAGAAACACGCCGAGCTCTCACTCAACAAGAAGCTTGCTTATCCTGCAATTACTATCATTCTTCGGTTTCGTCCTCGCAACAGGCAGCAACTAGTCATTGCCTTACTGTCATTGGATCACGGACGCCACTGAGTTGGTACAGTGCTGTTTTAACCTGTAATTAATGTAACAGTGACGATCAACGAAGTTCACCAATAGTCTTGGCCCAAAAGCGCCTCAGCTTACCCAGGCCTGGTGGAAAGGGCTGAAGCTCAGCTTGTATAAAGAAGGGCGTGCTCCGGTTGAATTTGCAACTCAAAGAACCGCTTCCCTGCCAATATTTATCAGCTTTCAAACCTCTTATCTGTAATTTTGGCACGCACATATCATGCCTCGATATATGATCCTCATCAAAGCTTCTCCAGAAGCTGAAAACCCAACTTCCACTGGACCCGAGATCTTTGAAGAAATGACCACCTTCAACGAAGAGCTTCATGCAGCTGGCGTTCTTCTCTCAGCCGATGGCCTTAGTCCAACCAAAGATGGCTACCGCGTTACATACTCCATGGATGGTCCTGCACAGGTCACCAAGGGGCCTTTTGACGTTGTGGGAGAAGGGCACGTTTGTGGCTGGTGGATTCTCAAGACCAAAGATGGCGAAGAAGCTGTTGGATGGGCGAAGAAAATACCTTTCAAGGGGGGCGAGGTTACGGTCAGGAAGATTGCTGAGTTGGATGACTTTGGGGACAGTGTGCCGGATGATGTGAGGGAGAGGGAGAAGAAACTCGCCAAGGATCTGGAGAAGAAAAATGAGCAGAACTAAGAGTTATACAAGGCTGATCGTGTTGCTATGTTGGAGGGAATAGGTGTTGATACCTCATTTGCGACTGAAGCATCAGGTCAAAGGCAACTTACAGGTCACACTCATTGCTAGTCATCATTCATAATTGCTTGAATGAGACAAGGATATTGTTAAATAAATTCTTGGTATTGAAATGGATAATTAAGAAACATATAACCGGCTGAACCAATCAACTCCATGCTTTGCTATACAACACCTTGAAACCTTTTTACCCTCAGGCTCTACATAGCTCCCCTCAGGGTCCATCTCATTCATGAACTAGGGCGCCTCGTGAAGACCACCAGGTCCCTGGTACCCGTTCTGTGATGGGTGAACCCAAGGCTGACCAGCCATTTCAGCCGGAGCCTGCTGCGTGGGAGCTTTGTAGTACTCATGTACAGGCTGGTTTTGCGCACCAACAGGCATCTCACTGGGCGGCGCGTATCCTCCAGCCGTAGCACCTTTGCCCTTTCGGAAATGTCGCCAGAGAAGAAAGCCAGCACCGGCGAGCAGGGCAATACCTCCAATGGTCGCGCCGACCGCCACGCCGGCTACAGCTCCAGTGGAGAGGCCTGAATCATCTTTGTCGGAGGAAGTGTCTGTTGTTGTCTCGGTCGCAGCGTCGGTCGTTGTCGTCTCAGAGAGGGCGCCGGTCGATGAAGGGCTGGGGAGGGCGGTTGTTGAAGCAAGAGAGGCAGATGTCGTCTCGTCTTTGGGGACAGTAACGTTGAACGCAGCTGAGTTGGCAACGATATCGTTTGTGCCAGACTTGAAGAGGGAGTAGTGGAAGACAGCGTCTCGGTTGTCACCAACTTCTGTAGAGAAACCGCCAAAGTTGACTGTCCAGATAAAACTCGTCGATGTTGTGTTTTCTAAGCATCAGATGTTAGCTGATAGGGACTTCAGAGAGTCGACGCGTGCGTGTGTACCTTTCAGCTGGACGAAGAACTGGGTCCCGCCACCAGCTTGAGGATAGTCCTGCCAGAGCAATAGGTTGGTCTCTTCAAGGTCCGTATTCCATTCCACGTTCATGCTATCATCGACATCGTATGTTGGGTTGTTCTTCCATCCCGATGAACCAGATCCTCCAGGGGTGATAAAACTGGTGTCAGCAGCAACTTTGGCGGCAAAGCTGCTCAGCAGTACAGTGAAGGGCAAGATGGCGATCATCATGTCGTTATAGAGCTTCTCTCAAAGAATATCAGAATTTTCAGCCTCGCGATCCTTAACAAGAGGCTATCACGAGTTTCTGTTGGTCGCCCAGTCTCAGCAGACCAAGATGATAAAAAGCAGAAGAGAAAAAGCAGTAGAAGGGGAGACACCACGCTCAGTTGCTCTCAGTCCAGTCTCTGTTTCATCACTCAGCCCCGATGGGCGAAGATCCCTGTCTTAGCGTTGAAGGGGAAATTTTGGGGGCCGGGGTGTTGTCCAGTGAGACGGTGAGATTATAGGTAGGAGTTCCGCTTTCTTACACTCGAGACCACTAGCTCGGATCCTTCTGATACCAAAATTAATTTAATGGCGTGGATTAGGAGCGGATTTATAAGAGACTCCGACTGAGGCTGCACCGACGGGAAATTGAAGTTGAGTTAGTGGCCATAGCACGGATATGTTGAGATACCCGACGGAGGATGGTTTTCGGATCAACAACTTGAGCCACTGACCAAATATCCTGACAAAGCTATATTTACACTCTAATTGGATCTAATGTTTACGTATAAAGCTTAAAATCAACCGTATTGTTTAAACATGAACAATCACCGCCGTTGAGGGATAATTTTACCAAGCCACGCGATCCAAGCTAGCCAGGCCCAAGTTCGAGCTTAGACGCCCGATGATCCCTGCAACCAGTCAGCCTTAGCCATGGATATCCATGGGTTCAAGCGCCACTCCGAGGCTTGGCTTCGGGTAGGGCCCTGCCGGCCGATGTGTTTCAGCCATCAAAGCAGATGTTGACTACCCTGAAGCGACCAAAGGATGAATTTTTACGCAGTCTGTTGAGTCCAATATGAGGTTTTAGTTAGTTCTTATGTTTCCAACGACTCAACTGTGTGCATGCGGTCGGGTTACATCTGTAGATAGAATTCTTACAGCATTGTGGCTGCTGTGCTGTGCTTTGCAGCTAGATGAAACGTTGATCTCACAGCACAGGCATATCGGGACAACCATTTCATCAACATAAAGGATTGTCATATCATCTTACTCATACTAGTCTTGTATCAACATCAAACATATCTCTACTTGTAAAATGCGCCAAAACCAATCCAAAGCATAGGAAACCTTTCCGATCACCAACTCAGAGGCGAGAGTTCACCTTCTTCAGATCTCCTCCATCGGAATCATTCTCACCCAAGATCTCACGAACAAGAGCCCTTCCAGCAGCACGTCCCGAGAAGATGCATCCTCCAACAAACGTTCCTTCAAGAGAATTATACCCATGTACACCTCCACCGCCAAAGCCTGCAACTTCACCAGCTGCGTATAGCCCAGGGAACGGTGTGCCGTCTGCACGCATGACATTGCTATCCAGATTCGTCTCAATACCGCCCAAGGTCTTGCGCGTAAGAATGTTCATCTGCACAGCGATCAAAGGTCCATGGGCCTTGTCAAGGAGTCTATGGGGTGGAGCAACTCGGCTTCGGCGATCAGCCCAGTATGTTCGTGCATTGTTGATAAGCATTGCTTGTGCGTCCTTTGAGAATGGGTTGTTGAACTGGCCGTCTCTTGTTTCAACCACCTCTTTGATAGCGTCGAAGTCTAGTAGTGGACCATTGCGTTTCTTGGCGAGTTCGTTCATACCGACTACTAAATCTTCCAGGTTGTCGCGGACCACAAAGTCCTTGCCGTGCTTTTGAAAGTTCTGGACAGGGACGGTGCCTTTCTTGCCAAAGATTCGAGTGAGAAGCAACCAAATGCTCTTATTAGTAACATCGGGATTCTGCTCCGAGCCAGAGAGGGCGAATTCACGGGCAATGATGCTCTGGTCGAGGATGAACCAGGTGTAGTCATATCCTGTGCTGCAGATATACTTCAATGTCGCAAGGGTATCGGTACCTGGGTAGAGGAATGGTGGCAGTCGCTTGCCAGTTGCGTCGAGCCAAAGAGATGAGGGGGCAGGGAGAACTCTGATACCATGGTCTGGCCAGATGGGGTTCCAGTTCTGAAGGCCCTCAGTGTAATGCCACATTCGGTCGCGGTTGATGACGTTTGCACCGGCATCTTCGGATATACCGATCATTCGTCCATCGACATGATGAGGAACGCCGATGACAAAGGTCTCTGGGATTTTGGGGCCTAATCTCTCGACAGGCCATGCAGCCTTGACGGCATCGACGTTTCCTCCAATACCGCCCGAAGAAACGACAACTGCTGAGCCGT